AACCACATATTATATAGAAATTTATTATGAGGACTTGTCGAAATCAAAAGAAAAGTAATTATATTCCGACAGCAAAAAAAAAATAGGACGTTATGTTACATGTAGGAACAAAACAAATAACAAAAAAGGGTGCAATACATGCATCACAAAAATGTGCCCGAGCATCAAATACACTACTTAACATACCTCTCACACAAGTACATGAAGTACGTAAGCTCCAAGAAATACAAAACCTAGCCAATTTGATAATACTGCAACATGGAAAATCAGCCCAACAATTACAAACGGTGACAGACTGGAACCACTGTCACTTCAAGACGTGGTGAGTTTGCTGCTTCAAGTTCAAAGTCCCTTTTATTTGCAAGATGTGTGTTCAGGATGTATATTCAGGACAAAACCATTTTCACAGAATGGTTGATAGCTAACTTTCTCCAACAGGACAAGAACTTACCAGATTGTCAATATATATATTGAGAGGAATCACTTTACAAACTCATGACATGCAAGATGGTGTTATTCCAAGTGTCAAGGTCAATCCATGGTCATCAAGGAGCTGTGGCACAAGGAGGAACTGTCAAAGGCCACGCTTCGTCAGATTTCAATGATTTAAATCTCGGATCTTTGGAAATAGGCTCATCTTTCAGATGATTCGTTGAATGTTAGATGACAGAGTTGACTCCTTGCCTTGATGAAGGGAACTTCAGGAATACTATGAAAATTGGGCAAATTTTGGATGTATGTCTCTCCTGGGCTGAAGGTGGATGATCATTACTGACAGCATGATTAGGTCCTGGGCTGATATCAAGCAAAAGGATAGACTTTGTTCATTATGGAAGCGCTGACAGCAGATGAGGAAATCATGGAAGATGTCTACAGGGTACAAACATAGATGAAAGGATGTCTTCTAGATTCTGGAAGGTCACTGAAACAGTTTGTGTACATCAGCCACTATGATACGGCTCTTAACTTTGACTGTGGGCGAACCGTACCCAGAGGCTAATGTACACATGAGGTAGGATGACAACAGGTGCTGGAACTCAGATGCCTTTGGAAGATGGGGTGATAACACAATGTGGCAAACAGGAAAAGTAGGGGCATCTATACTGGAAGGAGCCCCAAGTTGGGAGTGGCTAAGGTTCTGTAGGCTGTAAAATCCTGGATGGTACCCCGTGGTAGGAAGTGGTGCAGACATCGCCAAAGCAGGAATGGAAGAAACGGACATCAGTTCAGCTCGTCCGGGATAGGTCATCAGGTCGTCTGATGTGCCAGTGGATAGGAGATTGTAATAGTATCTTGCCTCATAAGGTAGATCATTGTTGTGCCATTGGGTTAACAGGAAGTGTCAAGGTTGCTTTCAAATATTGATGAGAATTTGAACAAGAAGAAGGGCATGACTGGAACTGAATCACAAATGCGCATCTGGTCAGTGACATCACAAAACTACAGTCTTCAGATCAAGGCACTCAAAATAGTCGGCATTGGATGAACTCAGTTGAACACAGATAACAGGGGACAGGTTGTTCATCAATCTTGGACACTTCTCGTAGCAGAGCTTTTGAGGAAGGAAGGGCAAGCAGGAGCTAACATTTGAACAAGTTGATTTGTGTTGCAGGAGTACAGGCAGCAAACAGGCAGTTGGAGATTAACAGTTCACAGGTACAGTGTGCAGGTTTTTCTATCAAGGAATCAGGATGTGGGCAACACTCTTAATAAGAAACAAGCTTGGATGAAGACATTGATGAAGTGCCATAGTAAGATCAACGCTAAGGTCAAGGGTCACTGCTTTCATATCAAAAGGACAAGTTTAAGAGCCAGGTGATTTAGATGTTGGCCTCCTCAAGCAGCCTTAGGGAAGACGTACAAAACAGTCTTTTTCAGCGTACCTCTCGTCTTTCCTACAACGCATCAGCTGTTTCTCTAATGACAGCATTAGCACCAGACAAGGAGAAGGGAACTCCAGAAAACATCATGCAGGAGTAGAGACTCAAAACATGCATTCCCTTTCCGGTTCATTAATCGTTGTCTTCTTCTCTAGTTACATAAATCAGGAGCCTTGTTCAACCGGTGAGGACACACAGGAATGACCTCAGCCAAGTGCAAACCACTCTGACCAATAGTCTTGAGAGAGAGCCTTTAGAGACTGCTCATACTCTACCCAGCCGTACCCCCACACTAACCCCACAAAAGCATTAAATGATGTCATGGACAGTACAACATACATAACCAGATACTGATGGTAATATACATTTTCAAGTATACATACAATAAATATAACAAACATCTAAGCACCTAACTATTCAAATCAATGCATAGTCCAGAAGCTTCTACTATAGTAGCCCATCATATCAGACCTGACGGGATTGAATATAAGAGAAATCTTAAGTCAATCATGTGCAAGGAGAAGGAATGCAGGGACCAGGGGTTGTTTCACAAAACTTGTCATCAGTGACAAATGACAGTTTCTGTTGTAAGCTAGTGACTTCCTTGCTTCTGATTGGTTATCAGTAGAGTTGTCACTGATTTTTGACATTTGTAGTTGAAAAGAGGCTTTGTGAAACACCCCCCAATAGGCCTTCCATACACTTTGTAGGCAATATCAATGCATATTTGATGGACTACTGCATGAACTTTAGCAAAGTAGATTTATGAACATCAAAACTCAGCTTCTCTCTAAGCTGAAAACCCCTATGCGGGTGCAAAGGTTTTCAATTGAGAATGTTGTGTTTTAAGCTACAATGAGGAGCATTTATGTGGCCTATGCATTGATTTTCACAATATGGATACAGAGTTAATCCCACCGAGCTGTCATTTCTCCCTTCTTGCAGTATTCAATCTAACTATAGTACGCAAGGGTTTTGAGATCAACTTTCACCAAAAGTTGATTGATGGACAAAACCTCCACAGAAATAATCACTTTCACCTTAAAAACACATTCAGTATTCGGTTTTCCCTTTGCAAGCATGTTTGAAATGTATAACTTTCTAACATTTTACGTAGAGGTAGCATCAACTATTCACAAAGACCATAAATTGCGCAAACTCTGGTTTATAAGGACAGGGCATATCAACAGAATTTTGTGAGGAAAAAAATGAGGAATTCAAATTGTATGTCATTCGGATTGTGTCGACTTGAATACACTAACCCTCATCATAATCCATAAGGTAAAACTCGAAGAGAGGGAGGGCAAGGAATATTTCAATTCTCTCAAAAATGTAAATATTGTGGGTTTTTAAAAACAAAGTACATAACACAGGGGTAAAACAATATATTTTTTCTTCATAACTATTGTTTCTGGTTGGAGGGTCTAGATATACCTCATATATAACATGCAATACTTTATGCATACTATAGGCATATACAATTCAAATTAAAATTTTCGCTAATCGTGATCAAGTTTGTTCGTATCTCCTTTTTTTATAGTTCTTTTTTGTGAGGTTGTGAGTCAATGCCCTATGGAATTTGTAAATAGTTGACACTACGCTGCAACTTTTTATCAGTGAAATCATGAAGAAAATAACCATTCTGTCATAAATATGAATTAACAATCATTAACCCTATTTAGCCCGGGCTATTTTGAAACTGCATAGCCCAGGGGGGGGCTTCTCAGGCCCCCCCCTGTGATCTCGGCCGTGAAACGCCCGATCGCCGCGAAAATTTGCATACATGTCAAGTGAAGTGTATAGAATACTATGGTAATTTCAATTTTTTTGAAAAATTCACTCATTTGCATATTTATGGTAATTTATGCAAATAAGGTCATTAAATTCACATTTTTGCCCATAAATCAGACATTATTCATATTTAAGCATTCTTTCTCACTACATATATTTGTTAGACCATTTGAAATAATAATACAACACAAAAATTTGAAAAACCAGGGTTATTCCTTATGTTATCTATTGTTTTGATAATTTCTTATGTATTTCTTTGTTTTTTTAACTTATGTATTTTATTGTTTTTGTTGTTTTATTTCATTTCCAACTATAATTCAACTATTTTGACCCCAAAATAAACACCTAAAATCTAAACAAGACCAAATAACCAATGTTTTACCTCTTTATTTGAAAAATGAGATTTCCATATGTTTTGTACACAAATCACAAAAATGAGCGATTTTCGGGCTGACATGCGAAGACAAAAGGACACGTGACTTTGTAATGGTAGGTCCGATTTTCGAAAAATTTCTTTCAAAAGTTGCGCAAGACTCGAAAGAAAAAAGTCACAAAATTTCCGTGCAAGATTTTCTTGCGTTAAAAAATTATCGCGAAAAATGTCGAGGGGGGGGCTTCTCAAGCCCCCCCCCCGGGCTAAATAGGGTTAAGAGGAGTGAATACCTAATACATGTACCTTCAATATACTCTTCTACAAACATCGTTCAGAATTTATGCAAGTGAATTTTGGTCAAATAATCTTTGATCTAAGTCTAAATGATGTGTTCATTTTGTTTCCCCCTTATTAGAATGTTTGTGAGTTTTTTCATTTGATAAAATAACATAAGGCAGAGAAATTCCATGTCAGATCAAAAGTCAAGAAATCTATACATGAGGAAGCTAACAATTTGGATGAACATTATATACTTACCAACTATTCATAAATAAATGTATATGTCTAATTACAAAATAGTTTAATGTGATTTTGAATGTATGTTTGATTTACTGTTTCAAATTTGTTTTTACTAAGGAGTATTAATACTTACCATTTCTATTAGATTATTGTATCAATTTTATTTCATCATAATTTATTATCACTGAAATCTTGTAGCAGTATTCATGTCTATATCATAGAATAATGTGAATTGAAAATCACTATGACATTTCCATTAGAAAGATGTTAACCTAAGTTGTTGACCATGCAATGAGATATGTTAATGAGAGAGCTAATAATACAAAAAAAAAAAAAAAACAGGAACAGAGCTTTTGATCTAACATAGAATCTCTGCTATGTTTAAAGTTTCTACAGAGGGTCAAATTTAAGTACCTGAACAGACCATTTGTTTTTTGAATTGCACATAAACCCACTGACATAAATTCTGATGATACTCCATAGTTACCAAAGTTTCAGTTTAAATTAAACAATAGAAAATAGCCAGTAATCTGAAATTTTAACATCTTCTTGTGAATTAGCAATACTGTAGAGAAGGATGAAAACCTTTCCTGTATGGCATTATCAGAATCTGGAAGTTACATATTTAAAAGTATTTTGTGCACAGTTAACAAGTACCACCTTTCCAATAAATATGACCAATATAAATACACAAAGAGAGTACACAAATTCAGACATTTGCTGTGAACGTGGTAGGATAAAAGGAAGAAGAAAAGAGAGAAATGTTACAATTAATATTTTTATTTTTTTACATATATGTAAGTGCCATTTCATTTGATCAAAATAGAAACATTATAGCATTGTCTTGTCAATTTTTCAAATGTTTGTATTTTAAATATGGAAATTCTTTACATTAAAATGATTTGCCTAGATTATCATATGAGAAGTTTGGAGCACAAGACACAGACCAAAATTAAAGGTGCAAACAATTAAGAAAGAATTTTGATTTCCTAGTCCTTACCAGACCAGGAAAATACCATGACATAGAAATTCTAGTTTCCAAATATAGATATTCAAAAGGAAACGTGAATCTCCTTCAATGTTGGAACAATATCTGCTAATAACTTCCCTGCGTAAGGGTCTATAGGAAGGCCCATTTCTACTGTAAACTTGTAAAAATGTGATCAGCCAAAATAAATAATTGACATTCTTTGCTGCATTCTTCTTCATTTGAAAAGAACTATGGGCCATGCAAGTCCAACTCTCTTCTAATTTTTGTTTCCTCTCCAAAACCGTTCCAAATTCCAGTATGCCAGTGGCCAGTCAAAGCCAACTGCAGATATTCCTTGAATCGAATCTCGCTTGAATTTCTGGTTTGTTAGGTCAATAATTAAGTCTTTGGATTTCTGCAAATATGCAAAGATGCAAATATTCCTTGGATCGAATCTCTCTTGAATTTCTGGTTTGTTAGGTTAAAGATTAAGTCTTTGGATTTCTGCTTATATTTGACTTCTGGGGTATGATTCTAACTAGCTCAAGCCACGGCCATGGCGGCAGCGCTCTGTTTACAGTCCACTTTAGTCCTATCCGCGTTCAACACGACATTCAGCTCCGTCAGGAATGTGATGCATTCCTCGTCGCTGTCGAATGCGAGGCTGTTTGCCACGTAGTCTACGGGGACCATGGGTCGAAATCTACACCGATGCGGACAATTTTAGCAGCCCAGTGGGAAGACAGGTTTGAATGTGGAAGGAGGAAAAGAGATAAATCACAAATTAGGAGCAATTCAGTAAAAATAAAAAAAACTACTTGTACAAAAATGAAAACTTCACAAATCTTACAAGAAAGAAATACTTACCTTGGCAATGATTAAAAAGGACACAAACATTTATCATGAGACATATCACATTGATTTTATTAAATATTGGAGCTTGATAAATCATCATGAACCAAAATATACATTATTTTAAAGCAGATAATTGATCACAAGATTTAGAAATATTATATACATATTGATTTAAATCATTAGAAGGATTAAATTAATATTCATGTTATATACATACTTACCCTTAACTCTAAACTGATATTTTACACAAGTGCTTCGTGCTAAATATCTACATTTTATGAATCATAAAAATCTATATCTTTAAATATATATAGTTCCAACATCAGCTCTCATATTTTTCCTTTGTTCGTGCAAATCGTACTTAAAATGTAGAAACTTACAATCTCTCTCTTTTTTTTAGAATATTACAATAGAAGTCTGAATTCGTACTTACCGAGCCTATAAAATTTAACATTTTCAATTGTTAGTACAAAAAAGGTAGTTACTAAGATACACAATAACACATGTACCTACAACAATTCAAATTTACAATAAAGAAAAATTACCCCTGAAAAAATGGGAGAGGACAGAGTCCCCTAACTCCATTATTCCTGTATATTTTTCATCTAAGTATATTGTGTCTCAATATTGTATTACATTTATGTACAACTTATTTCTTCTCTTTTTTCATCACCTCTGTATTTTCTTCCTATTAAATATTTAATCTAGGGGAACCAAATTCATAACTTGTCTCGATTATTCAACATTATCTCCCTGGTTTGAATTTTGTACCAAACAAAATATTCATAAATCAAATAATATGAAACTGGAATAAAAGCAACCCCCCCCCCCCCCCCCCCCCCGGCCCCCCCATATGTAACAATATAAAACTTTATCAACGGCCATGAATGTAATTGGAACATAATACAGAGTTGCTCTTTTGCTTTCTTAGAAAGGAACAGAACAAAGGCAAGGTATACGTACGATTTGGTGATGATCTTGATCGCCGCCTTCCGCTCGCGAGCTAGAAACATATCAATGACATAGGACCCCATGCGTGGGGCGGTACGATAAAGCTTGAAAAACTTATGATAGTCTGACATTGCCCAGGCGGAGCGCAGCGCCAGGGCGTGTTTTACAGAGGGGTCCTTCCGGGATTCCGGTTTGAGGGTCGCAAGGGTCGTGTTCATTTCTGGTGGAGGGGTGCAGGAGTCAAGGAAAAAACTTTTTATTCCTAGAGAATAGGAATGATGCAATTTATTCATACTTATATTACAGACATGTGAGAACATGTAGATCTTTTAATTAATTACAATACTAAAAACAAAATGAATGATATCAAATAATTGACAAACAGCAAAACCACATACAAGAAATAAGAATGTATTCTTTAGACCAGTGTGAATGTAAAGGATACCCATGGTGTTCTCCATAGAGATGTTATAGAGTATATGGTACGCCTGGAACTCATGGATATTACCGGGCATCCCCTCACCGTAGAGGGCTTTCAACTGGGTCTGGCACTGGTTGAACTCTGGGACATCCCCCTGTAGAAAGAAAATATGTGATTATATTTACACGTTATTTAGGCAATTCCTGGCTGTCTACCGCCTCTGGATCACTGGAGCGAAGACAGACGACAGTGATAACGTGATTAATCCTAAATATGCAGATGGATACTTCCTCCTATAAAATCGTTCACCGACTAGGGACCCTGGTTATTCAATGTCACCTATCTTCTCTCCAGTGAGGCAGCAGACAGCGAAGAAACTCCAACTTCAACATATCTGAATGTCTATGCTAGCCCCCCCCCCAACTACCTTCCTCCCCCCCCCCTTTTGTCCTCATGCTCCCCCCCCCTCTCTCTCTCTCTTTCTGTCTTTCTTTTTTTTCTGTCTTTCTATATTTTATAATTCAATTCAATTTTAATTTTATTGATTTAAATCCAAACTTATGGGATTATTCTCATTTTTTTTTTTCTACTCCATCTCTCAATGTTTTCAAATCCAATTTAAAAACTTATTTGATCAACTAAGAGATCTTATTTTGTAGAATTTAGTAAAAAGGAGCTCTTAACCAGCGCAGCTGAATATATTTCGTATAAAAGCTGCGCTATATAAATTTATTATTATTATTATTATTATTATTATTACTCAAAACCTTGACTGCGATAGAAGGGAAAAAAACATAATCTTGAGGTAGTCCTAACGCCCCATCTACTTTTCTCACCTTTTCAAGAGCTATCCTTCCATGCATTTCATACACCTCAACTGAGAACTCATTCCTGATGCACTGTATCTGTATCGTAGAGGGGGAATAAAAGATAAGTTACTTTCAAATGAAACACACACCATCTGTTAAAAAAAAATTATTGGCAAACTGGCCTAAATTGGCATTATGAGGTAATATACCACTCTTACAACCATGGTCAAATTTTGTTTTGCGGGCAACCCGATTTTCTGCAAAGACAAATAAATGTAATTGCCTATTTCAATTTGGCAATTAAATTATCTGTCCAAATCACATTCTTCTTACTTTCTACAAAATATCACATTTTTAAACTTAAAACATACCCATATATCTAAAGCAAAGTAAATGAGAATTTAAACAGAATAATCATAATTTGACATTTTCCATACATTTTGCCAATTCGAGGATCTGCAGAACCGTGCAGTAATTCATTTTCTTTCTGCAATTCCAATGCTGTTCTGCTACTGTATACCTTGCTATTTCTAACATTCTGAATCTTAAAACCACACTGAACTACTTATAGCTACTTGTGCCCTCTGTTGGTCCCCCATGATCCCCTTTTTTGTTAATTGAGAGCTGCTTTGATGAGATAACTAGCTGTCTGTGACCTTGCATGGAGGTCTAATCCCCCTGGCTGAACTAGTACAGACAGGCTTTAAGAAAAACTTCTTATGCCATAGCACGTCAGTGGTACGTTGCCTTTTTCTGCTCACTTACCGTGAGATCCTGCCTGATGGACTTGAGCTGCTCACACACGAAGCGGTAGTCCTGCTTGTCCTTCCATCGTTCCTTGACCTTGACCAGAGACTTACGAAGGACAGAGATCGGTCTTACCTGAGATGGGTCTGGCGCCTAGATTGTGGAGGGAGGGGAGAGGAAGGAAGGAAGGGGAAAGTAAAGTAATGGCTACGATTATCACTAATTTTCTCTGATGTCATATTAATCTGTAGAATTCACTTCATTGCCGAGCAGGCCAAAGCAATCTGGGGGGTGTTTCACAAAGATCCTAAAGTTGAACTTATCTCTAAGTTGGACTTAACAATTATGGAAAGCTGTAAGCATCCTTGAAAATATTTTGTAAAAGTTATTTTAAGAGGCTTAAAATGTTGATTCAAATCATTCTATTTTCTATTATCAAATAGATTGTATGTTCCGTTTTGATGTGATATGATAAGACCTACATGGGAAGATACCTATACCATTGTGGATGAAAAGGAAATGACTATCAACTGAATATTAAAGGACGACAATGGTGAATAACTTACGGATGTGAGCCTGAGGTACTGTTTCCATTCGTCCTGATTGGTGCCTACTATAGGTTCCATTGACCATTCAACATCATCACTTTCACCAGTCTGAAAGAATAAATCAAAACAAAAAATAAATTTAAAAAAACACTTACCACTTAATAGTGCATTACAATTAAAAAATAAATAAGATATCAAAAATAATAATCTACCTACTGTGTACATCTAATGTCATGATGTAAATTAATTTATACGCTACAGCTCTACAAGCTTGCTTTCATGTAGGTCCCATCATATTTCTCTCAGTTAAATCAGTACTCTATATTGACCACTTATCCTTATGTTATTTATGATGTTTTATTGATTGTTATGTTATCATTAGGCCTGAGTCATGTCGGGATTTTTATAAACCGGGTCCCGACGGCCTTGTACCGATCGGGACCCGGTGTCCCGAAATCAGCTCGCAGGATTTGCCACTTGCCTCTATAAAAAGCGCATATCATCAGTATGTCCCTTAAAAGTGACCTTTTTTATCAATTAAATAAATCAACACATGCATACCTCTGCTCAGATCGGTATATTCTTCCATTTGACATTATTTTTTATCCATGATTGGCGATGTTTAGTGCCATTTTCGCGCCTCTCAAAGTAAAAAAAACTGGGGCAGAAATAGAAAGACAGCATTCGAGCTGCCATTTTGATTTATGCAGGTTGAATAAATCTGCTCAAAAAATCTGAATGTTAGAATAATAAAACGGCTTTCTAAAAATTTCTTCTGTACAATATACCGATCATATAATATTTTAAAGACAAAATAAATATTTATCTCTTATTTTAAACATCGCATGCTTTTTTTAAAAGCTGAAAATTACTTGGTAATCAAGAGTTTCGATACGGATAGCTGTTGCAAGGCAAGTTCAGACTAGTATCGGAAAAATGCGCAGTGCTCCTCGTAATTAGCTTTAATGCGTGCCAGAACGAACCCAAACAAAGACGTGATCGTAACGAGAAAAAAAAATCATTAAAAACTACGAGAGCACAATTGGAAAGACAACTACTGCTCAAAATTACCATAATCAGATAGATAACTGGGACAATGAATTCAATAATCGCCCAAGAAATGCCTCAGAAATTGTGATAATCGAGGAGTAACTGGGTACATTTTTATCGCAAGGGGCCTGCTGCAAATACTCGAATCCTTTGTTATACTGCTTTTTACCGTAGAGGGCGTTATTTGCCTCGTATAGCCTCGTGTTCAATTTAAACACGTGTAATTCGGATATTGCAGCAGGCCCTTCTGATAATGATTGCACCTATAGTAACTCCTTAAATATCACTATTTATGTGGCTTTCCTTTGACAACTATTGTTTTCTTCCTCCAAGTTATGTATCTGCTTACAATAATTTTGAGTAGTTGTCTTTCCAATTGTGCTCTCGTAGTTTTTAATGATTTTTTTCTCGTTATGATCACGTCTTTGTTTGGGTTCGTTCTGGCACGCATTACAGCTAAACGAGGAGCACTGCGCATTTTTCCGAGACTAGTCTGAACTTGCCTTGCAACAGCTATCCGTATCGAAACTTCTTGTGATTACCAAGTAATTTTCAGCTTTTAAAAGAAGCATGCGGTGTTCAAAATCAAAGAAAAAATATCTATTTTGTCTTTTAAAAATTATTCGATCGGTATGTTGTAAAGAAGTACTTTTTAGAAAGCCGTTTTATTATTCAAACATTAATGTTTCTTTCAACCTGATTTATTAATCCTGCCGAAAGACCCGGCCAGTACAGTAGCTAGCTAGCAGCTGGCAACAACAACCCCATGGGGCGAACTGCCTTGCAACCCATATATTTATATCAGCAGTTCGGATTGATTCAGGATGAGCTAGAATATGATTGGTAACAATTAAATACTTAAGTTTTAAGGTGGATTGATTTTAGTGGTGTGCAAAACTGCAATTTCTTACATATTTCGTTATTTTTTTCGGAGCGTCGGTTCTCAAAAAACGAAACCGGGACCCGACGGCAACGGTCGGGTCCCGGTGTGATCGACCGTACCGACTCAAGCCTAGTTATCATACAAAAAATAACTTGTACTTTATTTTGAAATGTATATGTAACATCAGAAATATAAAAATAAATGAAATGAAATGAAATGTAAGAAATATTGACTCTAGTATTAAAGTACAGGATATGACAATATATTTGCCAACATTTTAATTTCCTGTTCTGGTTCCTGTTGGCCTACTCTTTGTTTGACAACGAGCCAACCATATCGCAAAGTCTCAAACAGAAATTCTGGAATACAAAGGCCAACCGTACCAGGGAGCTGATGTTTCTGAAGGATGGAAATGTTACTTCACAGACTTGGTTGAACCATCAACAAATAATCAAGACTGCCATGTGTCAACCAAAACTCCAGTAGAATGCAAGGCTAGCATCCCATCCTTGTTGGAAACAGCCCTATCACCTCCCAAGAGCTGAACGCAGCAGCTGCTAACCTCAAAAAAGGCAAAGCAGGCGGTCCTGATAACATCAGTTCCGAGGACATCCAATACCTAGATGACACTGCTAGAAGACTGATACTTCTGATATTCAATGCCTTCTTGACAGAATCATACACCCCCACAGAGTCTTGTGCTGCCTTAACGTAAAGGGAAGGGCAAAAATCCTAGAGACCCCAACAATTATAGAGGGATAACCTTGACATCAACTATATGTAAGTTACTGGAACTGGTTCTCAAACCTCGTATTGAGAGATCCCTCCTTCAGAGTGACATTCCAGATGAGCTCCAGTTTGGATTTCAAACACGGCACTCTTGCATCCTCACCTCTTGCTGCCTTGAAATTACAATAGAGCTTAATACTGCCAGCAAGAAACCCACCTATGTTACCCTTCTTGATGCTGAGAAGGCCTTTGACAAGGTGTGGGTTCCCTAACCATTTTTTTACTTTGTATTTCAAATATGTTTTGCATATATCTTTCGAACATCATTTGTAATCTTGAATATTTTTGTTTTTTTAATGGTTGAACCAATAAATAAAATGAAATAATCATAAGCTATGAATTTTTGTTGAATTGGCCTGTACAGCTAGATGGAGCAACAGAATTGTCTTCTTTACAAGAATTATTTGACTTGTTGAGATTTCTTTGATTTATTTTCTTGCAATGAGGAAGACTGCAAAACGATTATCCTTAATTTCACAAGAGTGTTCTCAACAGCGATTCTAACATACTGAAACTGACAATAACTGGGACTAAAGGACAGGACCTTCTATCATCTCTTCTTCTAATTTCTGTAGTGTAGCTTTGTTTTTGTCTTGTTTTGTCCTGTCATGTCTTGTTTTGTCTTGTCCTGTCATGTCTTGTTTATCTTGTCCTGTTACGAATTGTTTTGTCATGTCCTGTCTTATCTTATTATGACAGTTTCCTGTCCTTTGTGTCCTGATTTGTAATTCTGCTCTTTTGTATATTTCGACTTTAAAAGCGATTATGAAAATATGTTATTACATCATATATCTATTTTACTGTAATTATTAAGACACTTTAAGATGATTTATGAAAATAAAGTTCATATTATATTTATTCTTGGTAACCTACAGAAAACAAGCTATGCTCTCCAGTAGGTTCCTGTTTCATTTCATAATTTTGAAGTTACTTTGTCAACTATGTTCTTTATTGTGCAAACAATTGACATATGAAATGGAATAACAATTTGAATCAATCAATTGATCAATCTTACCAAGACTTCATTGATCTGAAGGGAGAGTTTCTGAGTTCGTTGCTTCTTGCCACCGCTGCCACCGCCAGACGGACTGTCCTCCTCCCCTAACATGTCCTGGAATCTGGCTGCGCGCTTCTGCATGCGCATTGCACGCTCTTTGTCATTCACATAGTTTACATCGCCGACATTCCTGAGCAAAACATAAAGGTGTGGTCAAAATAAGACTATAAAATTCTATGAAACCACTCAAGTATTATGAAGTCTTTTCTAACACTTCACAATATCACATAAAATCATGGGTTACCAATGAAAGTATCAATTGAAATCTTCAAGGAGTATAAGAGAGAAACACAGTTTAAGCAAAATAAATGAAAAGGAGACTGGTCTCCAAATTTAGCTATTTCCATGCAATGGGGGACAATTCCCACCCAAAAATATTCAAGGTCCTATTACATGTAAGTGTTTGTTTGTTTGTTTGTTTGTTTGTTGTTCTTTTTTTTATGGGGGGGGGGGGGTCTCAAAGTGGAAAAAAGTACACACATTGTTAAGGTCCTTATAATAATATCTATAATAATAAGTACATTTTTATCTAGTACATTATCCTCATGAAGACTCTATGCGCTTTACATAGTAGTGTAAAACGTTGGCAATGTTTATTGAACTACATGTACATCGTACTACACATACTTTGGGAAAATGCACAATATACAAAAGGAATAAGAAAATGATCAACAAAGTGGCACATTACATTTAATTATAGATTGTAAAATAAAATGAGTGTAGAGATATTAGCCAAAGGATAATCATTTCTCAAACCTGTGGGCAGAGAAGACACACTTAACATTACTCAGTTCTTACTTGTTCTTCCCCTTCGGTCCTTTCTTGCCTGGTGTTCTTTCGTTCCTTCTGTTAATCTCCGCTTCTTCGCTCTTCCTCCCCCTACCTCTTCCCCTCCCGCGGCCGCGACCTTTGCCCTTCTCCTTCCTATCAGTAGACAGCGACAGGTAGTCCCGTTCGTGGCTCCTAGATCTTCTGTCCCGATCACTGGAAGGATAGGTAAAATAATTTATGATTTTAATTTCTTTGAATTTACAAATGTATATTTAGATTTTCTCTCATTCAAATGATTTGTTTAAATTTGAATTGTTTTCATACTTATTTAAATATATATAAATATATATGTCTAGTACATCTTGATTTGTTATTATTTTTAATTATATCTTGATTTCTATATCATTTACCTTCATTTGAATTGTTAATACTTTCTTTTTGGAATGATTCTTTTTGATGTATTCATTGACATCGTGATTCAACAAATGTTAAATTAACTCTACAAAATGTTACAAAGCTTGCCTATTATAATAGTTATAATAAAGAGAGTTGCAATTGTTTAAATTGTTCTATGTTGGTGATGATTTCAATTGAGGAGGGAGCCTGTTCGAGAGTCTGGAACGGTAACATTGCAAGAAATCATATTCGTGAAACATTCTGTGAGTCCTGTGTGTTAACAGATCGAACATACAATACAATAAAAAGTAAAATCTTCAAGGAAATTATGCTTGAATACATTTATTTGCAAAAATTTGAACCACCTATAACTATGCTTTAACTTGAAGAAAAGCAAACCAATTAATTGTAACAACTTTTCATAGCTCAAACAGCAAATAGGGGAGATAAAATTTGACAAGACTCCTATCATCATGAAGGCAATGTTTCAAGCTGCACCTTTTCTTTTAACATTCACCACTACAACTTAGTGAAACCAGGGGGGTGTTTCACAAAGATCCTCAGTCAAACTTAACTCTAAGTTGGAGAGCCATTTGCGGCCTCAAAAACAAAAATTCCAAGTGTTTTAGACATTTCATAAATTCCACATCAAGAACATGAAATCTCCTTGATAATAGAAGATGTGAATCAACATTTTATGCCTTTTAAAATAACCTTTACAAAATATTTTCAAAGATGCTAAAGGCTTTCCATAATTGTCCAACTTAGAGATAAGTTCAACTTAGGATCTTTGTGAAACACCCCCCCCCCCCCCCCAGTATTCCAAAGTATGAAATGCATAATTGTCCTATATTACACTCACTCTCTGTCTCTGTAAGATCTCGCTCTTCTCCTACGTGAACTTGAAGAGGGAGACCTGCTACAGCCAGGACTTCTAGACCTAGACGGAGACCGGGACCTGGACCGGGACCTGGATCGGCTATTTGAACTACCACTGTCGCTGCTGAAGTCCCTGGAGAAGCCAAAGATCTTGCGGCCGTGGCGCCCCTTAGCAGGCTCAGCTACTCGCGTGGGGAACCTGGGCAAATGAAAGCAATAAACTTAAAAATTATTAAAGCCACACTGTCCCAGAAGCACTACCGCTCAAGCGCAATCTCAGGTCAGCTGTAGCAGTATTGTCCAGTATCTCAGTTACACACTGTTGGTAAGTTGACCATGAGATGGCGCTGTGCAGTAAACAGTACACCAGGGCACAAATTTCATCAGTTCAGTACCTCTTTAAAACTACTTAATCTGCAAAAAAATGACAAGGAACAGAGCACAGTAAATCAACAATTTCAGGGGCTGATATGTTGAAGATTCAGAAGAACTAATTCTTGAGTTTGAAGGGCAAAGTATATGCAAAAGTGATAGCATGAACCCTCCTGACCTGTAAAAGTCATATCAATCTGTGAATACTTAATGTTAGTCTAACACATGCATTAAGCCCCCATCTGCGCAATGCGGTAAACCTCTTAACCTCTTTACCTCATCAAACTAAATGATATCAGCTTGTGCAATTCATATGTCTGTATCTCACAAATAAATAAGAATGCTTAGCGGCCTTCATAGAGTACCGAAGCTGTGACATCATAAAAATTAATGTTTAGAATTTCTCAATTTTTTCTTCATTTTCCAATAGAGCAGCCAAAGAAAATGTCCAAATGTCGAAAAAACAATTGAATATGTTTGGTATTGGTCGAGATATGACCATCTGGATAGATAGATTTCCTATAGGAACTCAGTGTTATTTTGCTCTGGTTCCCAATGTTATGAACCAGAGCAAAATAACATTGAGTCCCTATAGCAAATCTATCTATCCAGATGGTCATATCTCAGCCAATACTTAACATATTCAATTGGTTTTCGACTTTTGGAGATTATTTTTGATGCTCTTGCAGGAAATGAAGAAAAAATTGAGAAATTCCCAAAATAGATTTTTGATGACGTCACACTTCACCACTCTATTGCATGCAACTTTTATAGTCAAGTCCACTTCCCATTCATTTACATGTGAAATGGTTTTATTGTGCAGCAGTATTTTTTATCTGACAATTTACCAAGTCATGGCTTTGGGCAAGAATATATAAGTTCAAATAATGCTATGGTGCCATTCAAAACTGTCAAACTGTTAACCAATTCAAAACTTGTCTAAGGCACATTTATTCAAAATTGCTTTTGATGATTAACTTACTCTGTTCACATCGATGTGTATTTCATATGTATAGTAATTTGTAGGTTTGTTTACACTTTTTTTGTTTTGTTTAATATGTAATTGTTTACCAGTCTATTTTGTTTGTTATAGCGCTTACAGAATTCGGTGGTAGGGCCTCCACGGAAAACAGTATTTAACTACTGATGGAGCCACCTTACTAAAAAAAGACTAATAAATAAATAAATAAATAAGCGCTTTATAAGCAACGTTTTTATTATTATTATTATTCCCTACCTGCTCTGTTGGTTCTCCGGCATCTTATTCCACTGACCACGCCCTCTGCCACGCCCCCGGCCCCGCCCTTGCCCGATTCCCTGTCTAGATACATCCAGGTAATCATCGCTGCCGATGCGGAGCGGGTTCTCCTGGCTGCGCCTGGCGCTCCAGGGTGCTTCGGGTTGTTCGTGGGAGGACTTAGGGGTGGGGGTGGGGGTGGGGCGGGCGGGGCTGGGGCGGGCGGAGAGAGGGAGGGGCTCCAGACTCCAGTCCTTGGTCATGACGGTGCCCTGGCTGTGAGCCTCGGTCAGGATCTTCTTGAGGTGGGACTCCACCTTGTCCTTCTCGGATTCATTCTGGCAAGAATTGAAGACTCTCTGGACGTAATCCCTGTGGAAAGACAACGAATGGCAAGACATGCATTAAAGCTTATCTGCACTAGTCTATAGGAGGGTTTAGACCACACTGCAAGGTCATTGGACAGGTGGTTATCTCATCAACTCAGCTCTCAATTAACATAAGAAAAAAAGGATCATGGGGGACCAATGGTCATCGATTAGGCATTGTTTTCTATGTAGAGGGAGCAAGTACATGTAGGTACAAGTAGGGCAGTGTGGCTTTAATAAGTTGTCATCTCGTCCCGCAAACAAACGCTAATTCCAGGTATGATAATGATTATTGAATGATATGTATAATTCCACACATAATGTTTATTCAAAGAAGTCTGACATACTAAACATGTATAATGAAAAGCATAGAAGAAAAAAAAAACACCTAAAATCAGATTTCAGATGAAAGGACAATACAATAAATTGTATTACTTAATGTAAAGATTTATTTGGGGTATTCAAATTGAAAAGATATTGTTAATTATCACTGATCAAGTACTGTGCGGTTACACACATATTCTCCTGATTAAGATATAGAACTTTTAAATTAATGTGAATACTTACTTCAAGGTTGGTGGCCAATCAGCAGGACTGACTCTGCAAGGCAACAAAGAAAAAACAGAAAGGTTGTTTTAAAGGAGGTTTAAAATGCCAGACACATCTATAAGGAAACATTAGAAAGGATTGTTTTTAATAAAGTACTGTATGGATATATTAAGAGGAGGGAAATATAACATGCACATTTCCCTAGTTCGAAGCATTGTCCTAGTGCATGAACTATACAGATTTGTATTCAAAGTTCATGCACTTCAAAAAGCTAACCTGCTCAGATTCAGAAGGAATATTCCATTACAGGTAATAATGTGGATACAAGTACAGTTAACTGAATTATTCATAATCATAAATTTCATGTTTTTTGTGTTTGAGTAACTCAAAAATGAAAGGTTGACTGGTTGAATGAGGGCCTTTGTTGAATACTTTTATATGCAAGCTTTGATATATCACACTCTCAAGAAAAAAAAATCAGAAACAAAAATTGTCTGACATACTTTAAAATATTACCAAACTAAGAAAGGGTATGAATAGTTTAGCATACATGTACATCCCTTAAAGATCACTTAACGTTTCTCATTCCCTATTAGACAGTCAGCAGTCTAAAAGAAATAGAGTACGAAAGTGTGACGTCAAACGGACCAAGTTGTCAAGGTAGCTGTATCCAAACAATGCATTCTAAAGAAACAATGCATTCTGAACAAACAATGCATTCCAAACAGCATTCCAAACAATAAACCATTCAATCAGATCTGCGAAACGATGAATGTCAGGTCTATTCCTGTAACATTCCAAGCCCAATCTTACTTGTCGCAGTAATGATTCTACGAGTACATATTGTTTCACTGTAAAATTTATCAAGAAAACATAAAAATATTTTTGCCTCCCTTGGCACATGCCAATCCCAACCCTGTCAACATCCAATTCAAACGAAAAAATATATATCGTTTTGCAGTTTAATTTGGAATCTTTGAACACAACATATTACAATAGTCATTCCACATTTTCTGGTTTGGCTTTTACAACAATTTTGTTAATCAGAGCCCTAAAAAATGCATGCATAGAAAAGGCAAATATATCTGCACACACTGCATCCATTTTTGTTTGACGACTACACCGTGTCTGATGCCTGGAATTTCAAAAGGAACGATTGGCAACGTGATGCGAGATCAAAAATCTTTGCTTGTCAATTAAAATCAACTATTTTCTTCAAATTTTAGACAAAATTCTCACCCGTGTTTATTATTTTAAAAGACATTACATTTCATCTTAACAATATGGCAAAAAAAGAATTTTATTGTTGCCAATTTCAAGAACAATATGTGATAAATTTAGACAAAAAAATAAATCCAGTCAGGTAAGGTTAAAATCAAATTTAGAGTTTGAACCCGGCACGAAATAAAAATAAAACAGATGCCTACATGTATATGGTATAAATATAATGCATTAAGGAAGGCAGGAAAAGTGCTGAAGTTCTTATCAAACCTACAGGTGAATATATGTGTATTTGCTTCTGTTACAATGATATCAATATTTAATGTCTCAAAGACTGCATTTATAGAGACTACGTGTACAAAGGTCGGGGAAAAAATGTTGTAAAATGATCTGTCCCCGAGTTGGTGATCAGTTAACTCTTGCGAAATCTGTTGAAGGGTCTGTTATTTCGACATTATATATCACTAGATCAATATACCAGTACAAACAATGCCATGATGGGGAATTCCATGCTCTACACATAACTTGTACAGGATGTTACAAGAAACTTTTTTTCTTGGGGGGGGGGGGGGAGGGTCCATACTCTATACTTGTTTGCATGTACATGTAATGTTAAAGGTGAAATTCAAAGAAAATCACAAATATGTCAACTAATGTATCACTAGAAACTAGTAAGCTAACAGATGGCCATCGTACAAGCTTTAGGTCAACTAAACATCGGGTGATTTATAAAAATACGAATACAACCACCTCCATAGCAGCTGGGATATACGAGAGATTCGCCGGAAAAATAATGATGTTTTAATGACGTCACTATATGGACCAATACTGCCCAAGCAGACGACATACCATAAAGAATGAACATAATTGCATAGCTATTATTTGTCAAATTATAATGAGTTTAGTGTATATAAATGTAATGGCATGTCAAACCATTCAAAAGGGGATATGACCCGATTCTGATAACTGAAGCCTCGGTCACAAATGCCATTACGAACTGCTACGAACGCCGTACGAACGATTTTCAGACAATGGAAATTCGGGAAGACAATGGAAAAACAGGGAGATTCGTACGAAATAATCGTTCGTACGAACCTTTGTAACCGTAGCTTAAATACACAGGATAGGGGTTAATTAACAATCAAAGAAACCAGACTTTCAAATTGAAAAACCCCCGGAAAGATATTAAGGACAGCATTTGTTCCGTCTTGAAACGCCGAACATACCGCGGTGTGTGCAGCTGAATATACAATGGCGTCTTATTTTGTTTACAAGCGACAGATTCCTTTATTTTTGTATCGCTGCATTTGTCATCAAAATAGAACCATGCGCGGGGTTTAGAGTGAGGCAATAGATTATACATTTAGCCTGACGGTAGTGAAGTAAGAGAAAGAACTGAAGAGAAGATGAAAACACAAGCACTGAAAATGTGTGAGGTGTCACGGGACATCGTCTGCTTGTGCAAATCAGTGTGATCTCACACATCTCAGCAGCGTTCGAAGAGCTCTTCAGGTGCTATGCCGGGGCTGTATTTAAACGTTTTGTAATTTATAATAATTATTACTGTGAATGTTTCCAAGCATTGAATTTCGATAACCTTGTTGAATCAAAGTTTCAACTTTGCAATAATGAAAATAAAGTTAGTTTTTAAAGTCAAGTTTTTAAAGTCAATGAATATCTACTTTAAAGCATTACTTCCTTTCTATTATTCTAATTAGAAATTCTACTTTTAAAATACTAAAAGTTCAGAAGATTCAAAGAGAATGAGAAAGAAAAGAGAGAGAGGGAAAGAAAAGAGAGAGAGGGAGAGAAAGAGAGAGAGAGAGAGGGGAGAGAGAGAGAGAGAGAGAGAGAGAGAAAGAGTGGGAGGAGAGAGAGAGAGACAGAGAGGAGCATGGCGACAGATTTTCACATAGGTGTCTATTTTTAAGTCTTACAAAGATTTGTCCTTGACAATCTGCTTTCCATCAAAAGAAAGTTCTTGCGTCTCATCCTTAGGCCTGGCCACATCCGTTTCAATGCTGTCTACATCTTTTGTTCCTCCTCTACTGCTTGTGTGGGTTCCAGCAAAACTTTGCTGTCCTCTTCCATTTCCTCCTTTCTGTCTGCCTATTTGTCCAATTTGTCTTCCTCTCTGTATATTCATCAGTCTTTTTTGTCCACCTATCTGTCCTCTTTTTCCTCCTACCCATTTACCAATTCGTCCCCCACGTAATCGTCTGCCTATCATCCTTCCTCTCAGACTTCTAATCCGTCTTTCTTTCCTTCTTCTGTTTCTCATCCTTCTTTCCCAGGCAGAATCACCTCTTGGAGGACCGATTTCTGAGCCAGACAAAGGGGCATGTTCAGATTGGACCATGTCTGAACTTTGCGCTGGATCATCCTCTGCTGTAAATAGTTCTAAGTTTGATCTTATATCTCCTTCCGAATTACCAATTCGTCCCTCTCCTATTCCACACGTTTGTTCGTCTATCCTTCCTTCTCTCAGACTTTTATTTTGTCTTTGATCTCTCCTCCTTCTGGTTTTCATATTTCTTGTCCAAGCAGCATCATCCTCTACTGTAGATGCATGTAGTTCTAAGTTTGATCCATGAATTGTTGAAGGATTCATCCGAAATTCTCTATTCTGTTGCAAGTCCTGAGAACAGGGAGGGGCACTGGTAGAAACTTGAGGCCCAAGGCGCAATCTCAATGTGTCACCCAATGAACAATCTCTTTGTTCCTCGAAGGAATGAGGCGGATACTCAGACCAAGTCTCCATCCTTTGAGTAGTTCCCAGGTCCTTTGAAAGACGATCCTGTGGTGAAAGATCCGCTGCAAAAGATGACCGATCTCTTTGTTCCTCGAAGGAGTGAGGCAGATACTCAGGCCAAGTCTCCGTCCTTTGAGTAGTTCCAGGGTCGTTTGAAGCACGATCCTGTGGTGAAAGATCCGCTGCAAAAGATGACCATTCTCTTTGTTCCTCTAAGGAGTGAGGCAGATACTCAGGCCAAGTCTCAGTCCTTTGAGTAGTTCCAGAGTCCTTTGAAGCACGATCCTGTGGTGAAAGATCACCTGCAAAAGATGTGCCACCATATCCATACGGCGTAGTACTTTGTCGGTTGTCAAGGTTCTGTCCCAGTTGTTGACAATGATGTGCTTGCATTCCTGCTCTCAGGTTCAGAAAACTGCTATTCTCCATTTCCTGAGTGTACGTTATGGACCTTCTTTCCAGTTCAATGAGATTCCGATGATCTTGATAATTTGCACCACCACCCTTCTTTCTTTCTTTATGCAAAGCAGGTGCATCGTGTGAAACAGGAAAGAACTCTCTTCTTGGCCCAAGACGAGATCCTAAGCCATGCCTTAGAGAATGGACAGGCTCCTTACTTGCATCAACATCCCTGGTTAGAGGATCTGGTCTTCTATGCAAACTACTTTTTTCTGTAAGATGATGAGCATTGTTTTGATAATCTACTGATATTTCCCTTGTCTGAGGAAAAGATGCTTGGAATCTGTTGTCCAAAGGCACATCCCCTCTGGTCTCTGAAGAGCAATTAGTACTTTCTGATCGGGTTTCCATCCTTCTTCTTTCGTTAATGTCAAAGGGATCTGTAGCAAAAGGCTCTATTCTTTGACCAATGATGGTTTGATGTCCATCTGCTGCATGTACATGAAACATCTCTTCTCTCTCATTATACAAGACAGCATCATTCCTTGACAGGATTGTCTGGCTCCTTTCAGAATCCCTGATAGTACTTGTATGTCTTTGGTAATCCCCAGGAAATGTGTCTCTGCAGTCTCTTCGTGTTTCATCCAATTTAGAGGAATGTTGATAATCAAACAGAAAATTGTTGTTATCATATCTCTGTAACTCTTGTTTGGGAACTGCCAAAGACAAGTCATCCTGATGCTCATGGTAAGGCCAAAGACGAGCTACCTCAGTTTCTCTTCTGTTACTGAAGCTGGCTCCTGCCATTGACCTAGTCTCACTTTTCATCGCCAAGGAAGACCAAGTACTAGTGTCGTGCAATTGATTTAATCGCTTTTCCTTACAAGTAGACTCAGAGTCAAGGGCAGGACTGTCCTGGGTTGGCACATCCTGGGGAGACTGCACCGTCTCACTTAAAAACCTGTCTCTCGACTTTCTCTCCATATCCCTTTCCCCATCACTGCAACCATCTCTTGTTGTATCTCCTCTTTGGTACAACTCAATACCTTCTTGTCCTTTTTGCTTTGAAGGATTTAAAGGTGACATTCCACAATTTTCGTTGAAGGCAGTGTCACTCCTTGAGAGAGTCTTTTCCTGACTTCTAAGACCACGAGAGACACTTCTTGTTAAGTAAGGAGCAACATTTGGATGTAGATTGCCTTTGGTTGTGTCATGATATCCATATGGTCCTTGTTGCTGGGTTGGACTGACAGGGTGAGGATTCCTATTAGAGCTCAATTGTGCAACATTGTCTCCTTCCTGATGCATACTTGCGTGGGTATAGGTAACAGGAGTCTCACTTTTAGACTGCTCTTCATCTGCACTTTCAGATCCAAACAAACTTTCGTTTTCAGATACATGTACACTGATAGCTGTATTTCTTGTTTTGTCTGTGCTTTCACTTTCATTTCCACTGCAGGAACCATCAGTACTCACATATATAATGTCATCCGCTCTTCCAGTTACATCTGCTCTGTTGATTTCATCCACTTTTCCTGTTTCATCAGCTCTTACGATTTCACCCGCTCTTCCCATTTCATCAGCTCCTAGGATTTCATCCACTCTTCCCATTTCATCTGATCTTCCCATTTTATCTGCTCTTCCTATTTTATCTGCTCTACTGATCACATCTGTTCTTCCGATTTCATCCGCTCTTCCAGTTTCATCAGCTCTTCCAATTTCATCTGATTTTACGATTTCATCTGATCTTTCGATTTCATCTGCTTGTCCGATCACATCTGCTCTTCCCATTTCATCAGCTCTTTCCATTTCATTCGATTTTACGATTTCATCCGCTCTTCCCATTACATCCGCTCTTTCAGTTTCATCGGCTCTTCCAGTTTCATCGGCTCTTACGATTTCATCGGCTCTTACGATTTCATCTCTTTTTCCAATTTCATCTGGTCTTCCAATATCAACAGCTGTTCCCATTTCATCTGCTTTTCTGATTTCATCAGCTCTTACCATTTCATCTGCTCTTACGATTTCATCTGCTCTTCTGATTTCATCAGCTCTTACCATTTCATCTGCTCTTACCATTTCATCTGCTCTTCCGATTTCATTCGCTCTTACGCTTTCATCCGATCTTCCGAGTTCATCTGCGTTTCTAATTTCATCCAGTCTTCCAATTTCATCTGCTATTTCAATTTCGTCTGCTCTTCCGATTTCATCTGCTCTACCGATTTCATCCGATCTTCCGAGTTCATCTTCTTTTCTTATTTCATCCGGTCTTCCGATTTCATCAGCTATTCCGATTACATCTGCTCTTCCAGTTTCATCAGATCTTCCAATTTCATCAGCTCTTACAATTTCATCTGCTCTTCCGATTTCATCCGCTCTTCCTGTTTCATCCACTCTTCCCATTTCATCCGCTCTTCCAATTTCATCCGCTCTTCCGATTACATCAGTTCTTCCAATTTCGTCGGCTCTTCCAAGTTCGTCTGCTGTTCCCACTTCATCAGCTCTTCCAATTTCGTGTCCTCTTCTGATATCATCCGCTCTTCCGATTTCGTCTGCTCTTCTGATATCATCAACTCTTCCGATTCCATCTAATCTTCTAGCTTCATCAGCTCTTCCAACTTCATCTGCTCTTCCGATTTCATCAGCCCTTCCGATTTCATCTGCTCTTTCATTTCGGGTTTCATCTGCTCTCGCAATTCCATCCTCTGCAGATTCTTCTGCTCCCCTTATCTGTCTCTGATCCATACTACTGTTCAATGTACAGCACTGCATTACTTGCTGAGCTACGTCATAAGTGATATCAAAGCTACGTTCAATCCAGCTAAAGAAACCTCTTGTTCCTTCATCATTGCCAGACGTGGGCTTCCATATTGCCTGTGCAAGAAGCAGCAATCTTCCAAACATCGAATATGCTCTCCGCAAGTGATTACTGATCACCTCGAACAAAGAATAACACTCCTGTAGATTTGCGATGCAGTCTTCCAGCGAGACTGTCAGGTGATGATTGATAGAGCTTGATTGTTCAGAGTGTTCCTCAGGGGTTGCTGTGATTCCTCCAAGCAGTTCATAAATCCTTTGGTTCCCACGATGTTGTTCATAAAACATTAAATGCTGCCAAGCTTGTTCAACACCAATCCCACAATTCTGGACAATCCAGGCATTAAACTGGCCTGTGACTTCATCGTTGTCCCGCCTATCCTCAGGATCCAAAAGTCTCTTGGCTATGTTGAGCCATCCACCATACAAGAATGCGTTCTGCAAAGACTGACTCCCCAAGGTCTCCAAAAGGTGTCCACTCTGCCGTATATCCTGTTCTAGTGACAGCAAAGGTCGTTCATGATCCTCAATGCCTGAATGTTCCATACCACTACCGTCAGACCACATGCAGACACCAGTAACAGTCAACAGGGACTAGCTTGCTAACAGACATGGGCAAAGTCATCAGGCCACGCACTGCATTCAACAGCACCAAAATAGTTTATGAAATGCAGATTTCTTGCATGTTATCAATGTAAATAATTACACAGCGAGCACTTCACATAAAATGGTGGCAAAGTACAGAAGTGGGCACAGATGGTAGTTACATAGTCGTGCAGTAAATCATGAGTGAATAACTTCCTCCAAAAAGCATATTCAACAGGTAACTTATAAATTGCTGCTCTTTCTTTGAATGCGCAAGGCACAACATAACATTGTGTGCTATAGTGATGAAAAGAATAATTGCTCGGCGTGTGGAAATTCCCAGGTTTTTGGACACGAGCCAACAATTTTGTAATGAATGCTGTGTGCTATTGTGACGAAATGCCCAATTGCTCTGCATGTGGGAATTCCCCAGTTATATTTTTGGACATGTGCCAAAAGCTTTGTTGCATAGCAAATTTTGAGATTCAGTGGAACAATGAAGGAAATACTTGAACATGTAATTCCTAGACTAAATCTACAACATTAATTTGCTGTCTAGCAAATGTTGATTCAAACTTCAAGTACCGGTAAGACAATAAGTGGGTCTGTACATGAACTGTTAAATAGTCTTGTCACATGTACATGTACAGTTTTTTTTTATAGCAACATGAATTGAAAAACAAAATCAATACTGTCACTTGAGCTAAGCCTACATGTATGTGGTACAGGGTGACTTTAAAAATATGACTGATTGCATAGTTTGCTGTGTTGCTAATAAATAGAATGTACATAACTGCAGCATGACTTGACAAATCAATCAATACTGTCAATTGGGCTAATTGGGGTAATAATAAATGCGCCTTGAAAGTTGAAATAGAATTTCTTGATAAACGGCGCTATAGAAATGCCTATTACTATTATTAATTATTATACATGTACCTACATGTACATGTATGTGGGTGATTAAAAAAATCACCCTCATCCTTGGATATCTTTTAAACTCTGTCTCAGTAAATACTATGTTTATTAATTATTTTATTCATTACATACATGTACAGAGAGGGCCACTTATTTGTAACATGTATTTCACTCAATAAGAATAACCTTTACTAAGAAACGTCTCCTCATGGTCTTCCTTTGCCCTGGATAATTCAATCATGCCAACTGGTAGTGATCCATTAATGCAAATACATTGGGACAGAAGGAAAAAAAGCAAACCGATTCATTTGGAATAAGTGGAATTGCACTTAAAGCCCACACATTTATCCTCTGTATGAATCATGTAGCGATTGTTAAGTTGACAATAGTTTAGAAACTAAGAATGTGGTGAGAGGAATGAAAGAAAATATTTCTTTGAAAGGTTGACAAAACCTTTAAAAATGAAAGGGATAATTGAGTTTTTTAGCAGAGGGCGCTACACAAAATAATTTTTTGATGAGATAATGAAAAACTGAGTGTCAAATTTGAAAAAAGCATAAAATTTAAATGACAAAAGCATATTTGTTTGATTAAAATTAGTTCAGAGACGGTTGAAATATCCATTTAAAAAAACGATTTATAATATCTGTGGTGCCCCCTTAATATTTGATAACTTGAACCAGCCGTTTAAAAAACTAAATAGCACCTTATACATGTACATTGTACGTTTTATTCCAGCCAATGCCTATGTTGGCTTTTTGTGTTGGTTATAATACGCACAACCAGCAGGCCCATGTATTGTTATTATTAATTAATTAAGTAATTAACGGTCACCATATTTTTCTGAAAGTAGAGCTGAATTGGTATGATCGTATTTCACACATTTTGGGGTCTAAAATTACCTTCATAGCAATGTTAGGTCCTAAAAAGCCACGGTAAAGGGTCAACATCAGGATGCTTAGGAAGGATTTCATAAAGCCTGAAGTACTTCGCTGAAGTTCTGTCTATTTTGCAAGCCCTCAAAGCAAAGTAAGCGAGCTTCTCTTCAGAGACAATCTTGGGAAGCAAGTTAAAGACCTGCAGGACCAGCTACAAGTAACGGAGGGGGTCACGATGAGACCCAAAGGCCATCATCAGTATACTCAACAGTATCACCCATACAAGAGATACAGTCAAACTTGTCTACAGCGACCGCCCAAGGGAAGCCCGAAAAGTGGTCTTTGCTGACAGGTGGTCTTCGTAGACAGGTTCCTTTAGTACATGTTTCAATGAGAAACCATTTTCAAGAAAAAACAAACGTGTGGCCTTTGAAGAGAGGTGGTCTTTGTAGACAGGAGGGGACTAAAGCTGGTTTGACTGTACAATGAAGATGCTAGGCAGGCTGAACAACCTCACAGCCGCATGTCAACACTGCAAGAGGTGCCATTGCATTGTTTACTTTATCGGATGATTGCATGCAGCTACAGTATACAGTTGGAACGCATCCTTTGATTTGCAGATACTTGAAAGGAGTGTTCCAACTGAGGACACGCACGACAACAATATATGATAAATTTAGACAAAAAAATAAATCCTGTCCTGAGAGGTTAAAAACAAATTTGGGGTTTTGACCCAGCACAAAATCAAAATAAAACAGATGCCTATATGGTATAAATATAATGCATGAAGGAAGGCAGGGAAATGCTGATGTTGTTATCAAACTTACAGGTGAATGCATGTGTAGGCCTATCATCTTCTTTTACAACGATATCAATATTTAATGTCTCAAAGGCTGCATTTATAGAGACTACATGTACAAAGGTCGGTGAAAAAATGTTGTAAAATGATCTGTCCCCGAGTTGTTGCTCAGTTAACTCTTGCGAAATCTGTTGAAGGGTCTGTTATTTCGACATTATATATATCACTAGATCAATACACCAGTATAAACAATATCATGATGGGGAATTCCACACCCTACACGCACCTAGTACAGGGAGTTACAAGAATTTTTTTTTGGGGGGGGGGGGGGGGGGGGGGTCCATACTCGATACTTGTTTGCATGTGCATGTAATGTTAAAGTGACTTGGTAACATTGTTGAAGGTTGATGAAAAAATTGCTTAATTTTTGTATAAAATGTTACTTTCTATATTCCTTCTACTGTACTAACCCTCTGACATGCAAAAAATCCTGAAAAAATTCTCAAACCACAAAGATATCTATGGTTTTCTTTGAAGGAGTCGATGTACGACACCCTCTAACAGTGATTAACAGTAAATTCTCCTAACCATTTTTTAATTTTCCCAACCGTTTTTCCATGAAAAAAAGACATAAAACAGGCTACAAGAAACTTTTTTTTTGGGGGGGGGGGGGGTCCATACTCTATACTTGTCTGCATGTGCATGTAGCGTTAAAGCATCACTCCCTTTTTATTTTTCTAACCAGAAACTCTACTTTTAAAATACTAAAAGTTAAGAAGATTCAAAGAGAATGAGAAAGAAAGGAAAGAGAGAAAGAAAGGAAAGAGAGAGAGGGAGAGAAAGAGAAAGGGAGAGAAAGAGAGAGAGAGGGAGAGAAAGAGAGAGAGGGAGAGAAAGAGAGAGAGAGGGAGAGAAAGAGAGAGAGGGAGAGAAAGAGAGAGAGGGAGAGAAAGAGAGAGAGGGAGGGAGAGAGAGGAAGTGTGTGTGAGAGAAAGAGAAAGAGAGAGAGGGAGAGAGTGGGAGGAGAAAGAGAGGGAGACAGAGAGGAGAGTGGAGACAGATTTTTACATGGGTGTCTATCTTTAAGACTTACAAAGATTTGTCCGTGACGATCTGCTTCCCATCAAAGGAATATTCTTGCGTCTCATGCTCAGGGCTGGCCACATTTGTTTCAATGCTCTCTACTTCTTTTGTCCCTCCTCCATTACTTGTGTGGGTAACAGCAAAACTTTGCTGTCCTCTTCCATTTCCTCCTTTCTGTCTGCCTATTTCTCCACTTTGTCTTCCTCTCTGTATATTCATCAGTCTTCTTTGTCCACCTATCTGTCCTATTTTTCCTCCTACCCATTTACCAATTCGTCCCCCACGTAATTGTCGGCCTATCATCCTTCCTCTCAGACTTCTAATCTGTCTTTCTTTCCTTCTTTCCCAGGCAGAATCACCTCTTGGGGTAATGATTTCTGAGCCAAACATAGGGGCATGTTCAGGTTGGACCATGTCTGAACATTGCTCTGGAACATCCTCTGTTGTAGATAATTCAAAATTTGATCCATGAACTGTTGAAGGATTCATCTGAAACCCTTTATTCTGTGTTGAGTACTGAGAACAGGGAGGGGCACTGGTAGAAGCTTGAGGCCCAAGGCGCACTCTCAATGTGTTACCCAATGAACAATGTCTTTGTTCCTTGAAGGAGTGAGGCGTATACTCGGGCCAAGTCTCTGGCCTTTGAGTAGTTCCTGGGTCGTTTGAAGCATGATCCTTTGGTGAAAGATCCACTGCAAAAGATGACCGATCTCTTTGTTCCTCGGAGGAGTAAGGTGGATACTCGGGCCAAGTATCCGACCTTTGAGTAGTTCCCGGGTCGTTTAAAGCACGGTCCTGTGGTGAAAGATCCGCTGCAAAAGATGTGCCACCATATCCATACGGTGTAGTACTTTGTTGATTGTCAAGGGTCTGTCCCATTTGTTGACAATGATGTGCTTGCATTCCTGCTCTCGAGTTAAGAAAACTGCTATTCTTCATTTCCTGAGTGCACGCTCTGGACCTAATTTCCGGTTCAATGAGCTCCAGATGATCTGGATAATTTGTGCCACCCTTGTTCCTTTCTTCAGGCAAAGCAGGTGTATCATGTGCAACAGGATAGAACTCTCTTCTTGGCCCAAGACGAGATCCTAAGCCATGCCTTAGAGAATGAACAGCCTCCTTACTTGCATTAACTTCCCTGGGATCTGAGCTTGTATACAAACTACTTTTTTCTGTAAGATGATGAGCATCGTTTTGATAATCTACTGATATTTCCCTTGTCTGAGGGAAAGATGCTTGGAATCTGTTGTCCAAAGGCACATTCCCTCTGGTCTCTGAAGAGCGATTGGTACTTTCTGATCGGGTTTCCATCCTTCTTCTTTCATCAATGTGAAAAGGATCTGTAGCAGAAGGCTCTATTCTTTTACCAATGATGCTTTGATTTCTATCTGCTGCATGTACATGAAACATCTCTTTTCTCTCATTATAAAAGAGCTCATTATTCCTTGACAGGACTGTCTGGCTCCTTTCAGAATCCCTGATAGTACCCATATAACTTTGGTAATCCCCAGGAAATGTGTCTTGGCAGTCTCTTTGTGTTTCATCCAATTCAGAGGAATCTTGATAATCACACAGAAGATTGTCTTTATCATATCTCTGTAACTCTTGTTTGGGAACTGCCAAAGGGAAGTCATCCTGATGCTCACTGTAAGGCCAAAGACGAGCTACCTCACTTTCTCTTCTGGTACTGAAGGCAGCTTCTTGCATTGACCCAGTGTCACTCTTCATCGCCGAGGAAGAGCATGTACTAGTAGGCTCAGAGTTAAAGGCAGGACTGTTCTGCATCAATAAATCCTGAGGAGACTGAACTCTCTCACTTGCAAACCTGTCGAATCTTGACCTTTTCTCCATATCCTTTTCCTCAACACTTGTATCTTCACCAGTTGCATCTCTGTTTGGGTTCAACTCAATACCTTCTCGTCC